TCTATCATACCCTAAGGAACTTGGATCGTTAAAGCTCCCAAGTAAGGAGTGACACTTGGAATGTTCCGATGTTTTCTGCAGTTAGCCAATCTGTATAATCATATGCCTATTGTTTCATTTTTGCTTTGTTCAAATAAACTGTTTGCCCTCTGCCTTTGTTAGATAAACNTGTTTCATTTTTGCTTTGTTCAAATAAACTGTTTGCCCTCTGCCTTTGTTAGATAAACTCGTTGATTCGACTAGTACTTGTTGGGAAGAGTCTCACACTTCTTCAATGTACGACAGTTATCAGGCTGATTCTAAGGTTCTACTTCAGATCTGAAATCAGATACATTCGTTGTAAGTTGTGTCTCAGAATGATTGTTCCTTAGTGGTGAACGGATTGCTTGGGGTTTGAAACTGTCGGCTACTGGTATGTGTAATGGTAGAGTTCCGATGAAGATTTGATTTTAGTTTCTGTTCTTTTCGTAATAAGATGGTTGGATCCTTTGGTACTTGTCATTTCCAATTGTGAAAGATTATAACCGAGGAGCTACGTCTTCACATATCGTTCACATGAAGGCTGTAATTTAGATTCTTTGTGAATGTTCTGCGGTAGGCTGTCATGCTGATTGAAATGTCTTGCTACAGGTAAGATGATAATAATATTCGTTCCAGTTTGTACTGAAAACAGTTTTGTTCGTTATGAAACGTTTTCATCTCCCTCCGATTTTCAAGGGCAGAATGTCAGCACTAAACTGTGTAAGGAGAGCGTCAAGCCGTGCCAATACTCATATCGGAAAAAGGGTGCCGAGTTACTGAGCTCTCATGATTTTTTTTATGTTCCAGGATGTCGTGGTAGCTTCGAACTGTGGGAAGGTCAAGGACATGGAATTAGAGCGTACGTTCACAACTGTTCGATCTCAGTTTACCTTTTTTGATTTTTAGTTTCTCAAAGAGTATTCACTGCTTCATTGTCCCGAATCTCTCATTTAAGTGAATTAGTAGCAGGTAATAACTAGTGTTGAGCAAAAGCTCATTTTGTTTTACTCAGATTTACAGGCAGGAGAATAGCCAGGTCAACAAGTTGCACAGTCCATCCATATGTCCATTCATACGTAGACAGGGGGGAGTGAGGACTACACATGGTATGTGGAAACAAATGAGTTTTATTGTTCTGAAATAAATATGTGATTCATGTTTGTATTCTTCTTGCCATAAGTTGGTTTAGTCCATTCATATTTGTAATTTTAAACTGATGAAGGTCAGAACCCTAAGGCTAGATCATCATGCAGTTCATATGATCGTGGGGATCAAGCATATAAGCGCTCGCTTGTTTGAAGAAAATCTGATGCTTTAAATGCCTTCATACAGATCGTCATGAGTGGAAACAACCAGTTGTTCGTAGTCAGTTCTCAATATTCATGTTCATCTCATTTCAGAGATTAACTCCAAAGCATCTGATTTGTATCACTTAGCAGTGGATTTCGACCAAATGTGAAATTAACCACACCGCTCACTCTAAAAAAAATTCAGAATGAAGTCGGCGGGAGTTTCATTCCAAGTGAACAGGACCATGAGCGGCTGTGCCACAACCGCGTATCTTCCAAGTAAGAAGTTACAGCATTGATTTCAGCACTTGCAGGTACTTTATGA